TTTCAACAAACGACCTGTGGGTCACTATCTCTGATTTTCCTAATTTTTACATCTTGTAATGTGCATTATGTAGATAGGTTTAAATTTGAAATTTAAAATCTTATGTTAAAAGCATGAAAAAATGCAATAAGATCTGATGGCCTTACCTGTATATTCATTAGAAAGAGAATCATATATATTTCATGTTAGAAAATGAAAGCATGTATCTTTGTAAGTTGATTGTAACCCGCAATGATATAAAACAGGAATTTTTAAATGCTTTGGCTCAATATGTAAGTGAATGATATAATAAAATATACAGCGGTTTCACAAATTGTTAGCTCAGACCAAATGTCACATTAAAAGGAATTGCATCTTTATTCGAAGAATTATTATTAGAAGGATATGATTACATTTTAACCAGCAGATTTCAAATTGATCCTCTTAAAAGCCATTTTAGTAAACTTACCCAGATGAGTGTTTAACGAATTCAAGTTAGTTTACGTAAAGTTGAAAGTTCTAAACAAATAATCAGCATTAAATCTCTGATGAAATAAATGGCTTTAAATGATTTAAAAATAAAATATCAGTAAACAATGATGCAAAAAAACTAGAGATAGCTTTAATTTTATTACAAAATGATATAAAAGAATATGGTTTATCTAAACGTTCAAAGAAAGTTGTTATTCGTGTTGCTGGGTATATAACAAAAAAAATTAAATTCAAATTTAAATGTTCTTTGTGTCAAGATTTTCTTTAAACTAACAAAATATTTTCACTTTATATTAAAAAACTCTCAAGGAAAGGTTAGTGAAAACATGGCAGAATGTGAACTCTCTTTATTTTCATTTTATACATCAGAAAATAAATTACAATTAACTAAATATACCAACAAGCTGAAAGTTCTTTATATATATATATATATATATATATATATATATATATATATATATATATATATATATATATATATATATATATATATATATATATATATATATATATATATATATATATATATACACATATATATATATATATATATATATATATATATATATATATATATATATATATTATATATATATATATATATATATATATTATAGATATACTCAATGCTCAGGAGAGTGGAGAAAAAAAAGTCACGGAAAGGTATTCGGTAAATTAAAAACACCAACCCACCTTATCATTGTTGTCTATAGAGATTAATGAAAAGGTAACAGAATGATTTACACTTTATAAAAAAGTAACGGGACGGCAACCCACCCCATTCCTCTTCACTTGGAGCACCGGGTATACTTATATATATTATATTTTTTTCAAATTATATAATTTTTTCAAATATTTGCTTGCTTTAATACTTGGAGAATATTATTTTTCATGATTAACACATACACAAAAAACTGGTCAACTGTTTTACGGACCTGCCAACAGTTCGGTCGTGTATTTAAGTAGGCGGTTGGTAATAATAATTTTTTATAGATACATAAAGTCACACATAAAGTTAACAGTCATCTTCAATATCAAGGATTTTATCAGTCACAAAGAATCCTCCTCGGGACTTTACAGTGAACAATCCGTCAAAATTGCTCATCAATAATTTAATCAACATCAGTCAAGGTATGAACAAGAAAAAAATCATTTAGAATTTAAGGCAGAATGTTGAGCTGCAAAATCAATCTAAATGATAAGCATTTTTTGAGAGCTGTTAGGAGAAAGTTATTAGAGATTTGGAGGGAAAAACTCTTACGTTTATATTGAACATTTGAATCATTATATTGTATTATATTATATTAAGAAACTAGAAATTTAGATACTATTTAAAAGTTTAGAGTATTTTTTTTTTAAGATTATTTTAGGTTGTTTTGTTAAAAGTTGTATTTTTTTATTTTTGGAAAAAGCCAAAAAAATGTATTAATATGGAATCAGAAAATATTCTTTATTGTAATAAAATTATTATATTGTACGAAAACACTCAGCTGAGCAAATACCCTAGAAAGATTCTCCAAACTGATTTTCTAACATTACACAATTGGTTGCCGCGATTTCTTGATCTGCAACGAAAAAAAATATTAGCTCATAAAAAAATTCCAAACACTTTATCAATGCAAGAAAGTTTTGGTAATGCTGTCTTAAAATTGAGAGTTTAAAGAATATATAGTTTTTGGTACTAATGCTATAGAAATAAGACTCATTGCATTCTTATAGATAGCTTGAAACAAAGCTTAAAAGGTCAACAAAGAAAACTGGGAACCTAAACTTAATAAATTTTAAGACACTTTAGATCTTTTGCAAATCCACAATCGTTTACTGCAGTGAAAATGATGCCTCTTATAAAGAATTTTGTAATGACTTAACTCATTGCTTTTGCAAATGTGAATTAAATTTAAGAATTCTAAGAGCTCATTTGTATAAAAAACTATCAAGATAAACGAGGCAATAACTTATTTATGCAAGAATATGTTATTTGAATGAGCCGCCGTTATTTGAATGAGTCCCGTTTGAGCAGCTGTGGCGCAGTGGTTAGAGTTCTGGCTCAGAACCTAGAGGTCCAAGGTTCGACGCCAGCTCTAGCCCAACAAGCGACATTGGTACGGAAGGAGGCGTGAACTTCCTGTTAAATCCTCTCCCGCGGTGCTCTATGATAAGACCGTGAAGACTTCTTGGAGCACCTAAATACATACAAAAAAAAGAATGTTAAACAAACTGCAACGCTTAGATTCAAAAACTTGCGCGACTCAATCAAATAAGCAAGACTAAATTGATAACAAGAAGCTTCAAAAGCTAAGTCATTAATTATATTTTATTTCAAAAGCTACGTCATTAAATATATTTTATTTAACGTCTATAAGATTTTTTTATTTTTTTATTTTTTTTTATTTAGGTGCCCCAAGAAGACCTAACGGTCTTGTCACAGAGCACCGCGGAAGTGCATTTAACCAGGAAGTTCACGTCTCCTTCCGTACCGTGACGCGAAAATATGTCTAGAGTTCGTTTCCAACCTGGATCTCCTGCTTATAAAGCAAGCGCTGTAACCACTGCGCCACGGCCGCACAAAATTTAGAAGCTACATTATTAGTTTATTATTTTATTTAACGTCTATTAGATTCAAAAACTATGTCATTAATTACATTTTATTTTAAGATTCATTGCTAAAAAATATGGATGTTGCAATAGAAATAAATGATAGTTCCAATATTGATATTATAAGTCATAGCGATAAAATTAGTGATAACAAAAAAGACTCAACATTACAAAAGCAAGAAAATTATGTTAAAACGAAACTACCTTGATATTTTTTATGCTGCCATTGTCTCTGTCAGATTTGGTCATTCGTGTCATTACTGTCATTACTACTGCTGCTACCATTAATGGTCTGCTGAATAAGATTATAAAAGCTTGTTGAAAATAAAAAAATCCTAATATGTGATACCATAAAAATTTTGTAGAAAAACCTCCTTATTCAAAAACCTTATATACCTTTTTTCTGGCTTCACATTAAGAAGCCTGCTTTATTTTATACTGTGGAAACACTAGACAAGCCTACTTCTTATGATAACGAATGATGTTGTTATAAGGAATAATAAACTTACACAAATGTCCCTTATTTTAATATTTATAGTTCCACAAACCTTGATGCTTGCAACATCAAAAAAAAAATTGATTCGAACTTATTGAGAGCTTTATTGGAACTTTATTGAGAGCTTTTTTATTTTATTTGAACTTATTGAGAGTTTCTTTACGTATGAGCTATCCAGTCCCCTTGTTAAACTTTGTTAAACTTAGTAAAACGTTGGTTTGCATATTTTAAAAAAAACAACTTTTTATTTTTGTTTACATAATTTGTAATTGTAATATACCTTGATCCTACAACTATAGTAAAATTATCAAAACAGGGTCGGCGGGAAGCCCTAACCATCTTTATGCGATTCTGGCTTTATTTTATAAAGTTTAAATTTCTTTAAACTTTATAAAATTTTAACTTGTAGTAATAATTGACGAAAATTTTTTGAAAATTAAACATTTAAAAAGAAATAACTTTTTAAAAAAAACAAATTTTAAAACCCGTTTCCCAATAGCTAATAATTAATTTTTTTAAAAGTAAAGAGTGTAGGCAAGTGTGTACATGACTTTTTGTAAAAGTTACACTATATATTAAGTTAATATATTTTACTTAAAATTAAACATATATTTGAATCAATTTTCTGAAATATAAACAAACTTTCTAACAAAATCAGACGGTCAAAATCAGTAAATTAACTTGAAAATTACTTTTTGGCCACAACTGCGGCAAAACGTCAGAGCAACAAGTTGATACATTATATATATATATATATATATATATATATATATATATATATATATATATATATATATATATATATATATATATATATATATATATATATATATATATATATATATATATATATATATATATATATATATATATATATATATATATATATATATATATATATATATATATATATATATATATATATATATATATATATATATATATATATATATATATATATATATATATATATATATATATATATATATATATATATATGTATATATATATATATATAATATTTCCAACTAAATTTATATTCATTGATAAATTTTAAATTTCATGCAATAACTATTTAGCGTTTAAAATTTGGCTGTACAAACATCCTCAGAGGCTTTCGAGAGGGTTTCGAGAGGGTTTTTAATTCTTCAAGATCATAATTTTTGAACGCTAAGAGAATATTGTATGTACAGGTTATACCCCTCTATTGCTATAATGTGCTAACGCCATTTTAAAACAAAAAAAAAAATAAATAAATAAATAAAGAATGTAGGTAAGTGTCAATAAGACTTTTTATTATGAGAGTTTTAAGTATATATATTAAGAAAATTTATTTCACTTAAAATTCAAAAAATATTTAAACAAATTTTCGTGAAATATAACAAAGAAATATAATTATATATATATGTAAAAAATTTATTACACTTACTATTTTTAGAAAAAAAAGTTGTTGCAATGGACTATGTTAGAGGAAACGGGAGAGATTCTAATATTTATTTGGTATTGAGTGATGCAAATTTTAAAACCAAGCATACCAGTACTGCATTCTCTCTAACATTTAGTGGCACGGCTTCTGATTATTACATTACACATATGTTTGCTTACTTTTTACCCCCAGATAGTGGAATATATTACTTCCATATGACTTGCAGATGGTATGGCTTAATGTATATTTCTACACCCGGAAAACAAGACAGAAGGGTGCTTGTGTGGGGCACTGGGTAAGCTTATAAAAAATTTTTCTTAAAAAAACTTTTACTAAAGTATATCAAACAATATTTATAAAAAAGATAATATTTATTTATTTAAGATTTTGTTTACAAAAATTTAGAATAAATTCAAAGTCGATATACATCGAAAAAAGCAGAAAAAAATTGATTGAGATTGTCACTGGTGGTCATCAAGAACAAGGTCAATCTCCTATTATACTAGATGTAACTTTACCCAACAACACAAAGTATTCACCTATTCCTCACAGATTTTTTGATTCTCTATTGTTAACTAAATTTCATTAAATTGTTGTTAAAAGTCTAATTTTGTAATATTTGTTTTATTTGTAATTTTAATTATTTTAAATACTTTTAATATAACTTCAAATAAATCATACTAAAGACAAGAATATCCTTTTAAATAACTTTTTTAATAATTTAAATAAATTTTTTGTATTTAATTAAATAATTTTTGTATTTAAGTATTTAAATTTTTGTATTTAAGTAAATAAACTTTAGGTAAAAAAAAAATATATATGAAACAAAATAGCTGTTAAACTTGTATTTTATTACAAAAAAAGTTTTAATTGTTTTTTGATGCTTTCATTTTACGGTTGCATAGAGCCATACTAATATTGCATTTATATTGAAAAACTTTAAAAAAATTTACTTTTCGATTGTAAAAAGCACAAAAATCAGTCGTCTGAAAACTAAAGAGAATTGCTCATCCTGATCTTTTTGTGTGTGTGTGTGTGTGACTTTTTTAGATACTCTAAATGCTCTATTTCTGTTTCAGAAAATAGAGAGTGAGATCCCACATATATTGCTATCTGTTGTTTCACATCAAAATCGACTTTATAAGTTTAGCGTTAAACGCCTCATATTTTCGAATGCAACTCAACATTTTTTTATACAATCATATTCTTTTGGTATTTACAACTATGACGCAAAATACAGTCACATTCAGTCATATATACAATCATATTCTCTTGGTACTTACAACTATGACTTTATATTGTATACAACTATTTACATTTAACGCAAATCGATCGTTAACAATCATAAAATATAATTACACTTTACACTATCAGATCTAAAAAACATTGTTTTATTTTACGTTACAGATTTAAAAATATTTTAAGATATTGTTAAAAACATTTCATATTTTTAACTTTTGCTTAATTATATGTTTAACTATAAATAATAATATATAAATAATTGTGCAACTTAATAAATTTTTTTTGATAAAATATCTAAAGCACTAAAATATTAAATAAGAAAGAAAATTAAGATCCAATTTTGCGATAACAAGTAAAGCATTCCAAAATTTTTTTTATATATAATAACATAGTTTATGCACTCACATATAATATATGTGCGCATAAAATATGTTTTTGGATATAAATACATATGTATATATACATATATTATATGTATATATATATATACATATATATATATATATATATATATATATATATATATATATATATATATATATATATATATATATATATATATATATATATATATATATATATATATATATATATATATATATATATATATATATATATATACAGTGCCGGCCTTAGGGGGGGGGGGCGAGGTTATGCGCCGCCCAAGGGCGCCAGGAAACAGGGGCGCCAAACGTTGTATGCAAACTTTATTAATATAATAAATAGAAAAAATAAAGCAACCTAAATTTTTTCGATTTCGATTTTCGATTTTTTGTTATTTTTTCGAAGGTTTTTTTTTTTTATAAAAATAATTTCTTTAAATAATTTTTTTATTGTATCATTACACTGTTAAAAATTCTTTATGCAAAATTAATAATTTGAGTAAAAGTGTTTCAATCGTAGCTTATATTTTGTTACTTAAATTCATTTTTTTACTTGTATCTTTCTCGGCGCCAATTATTTTGCGTTCCATTCATTTAAAGTTTAAATTTTAAACGTTAATTTCGGTACGAGTTGCGAGCGCGTTGTTTATTAATTTGTAGAAGAAATTTAAAGTTGTATTTGTGATTCAAATTCAGTTTTTGTCAAGTTTTCAAATTTTGCGGTAATAAAAAGCAGGTAAGTATAAATAATGAAATTGGTTATGAATTATTAGCTTGCGAGTAATTTTTTTATTTTGAAATTTTAGACAAATAGAAACTGTCAGCAGCAATCAATAGAGAGTACTCATAATAAAGAAAAAAATGTTTTTAAAACTCATAATAATAAGAAACCATCTGGTGCTCAATACAGAAAACGTAAAGCAGAAAAAGTTGATAATTTGAAGAAAAATTATAAAAACTTGAAAATATTTTTACATCGGAAAATAGTGATTGTAATAAAATAAAGGAAGGAGAAAATGTTGCGCATCTACTTAGTGATACATCAACCAGAGATTTTGGACTAAATATAAGCTTTTGTCGAGGGCAAGGTTACGATAACGGTGCAAATATGAAAGGTAAAAAAATAGGTCTACAAAAGCGAATATTAGATTTGAATCCTTTGGCTTTTTACCTTTCATGTGGAAGTCATTCTCTCAATTCGGTTATTTGTGACGCAGCTCAGTCTTCACTAAATTCCATTAACGTTTTTGGCATAATACAAAGATTATTCACATTATTTTCTGCATCAACTTCACGCTGGAATGTTTTACTTAGTCATACAACAAACTTCACTCTTAAACGATTATGTGACACTCGTTGGGAAGCCAAAATTGAGAGCCTCAAAGCCATCCGATACCAAATAAGCAGCGTACATATTTAAGAAATACCATGTTGCAAGATCGACTTAATTCTCTATTTATGTTATCAATCGAGCAAGATATAGATGAAAATTTAGATTTTTCTAGTTTGATAAGAGATTTTGCGGACAAAAAAGCTAGAAAAGTTAGATTTTAAAATTTAATAACTCTTGTTTATATAGTTAGAGGATTTATTATATGTTTAATAAAAACATTTGTTATTTTAAAAGCAGCGTTGCGTTGTCTATTTATTTAGTCACTCATTTCTATAAACCCATATCATGAAAAGTCTAAATTTATAATTTTAATAAGAAATTAATTAAATAAGAAACTTGATGCACAATATGGATCTCTTTGCATTAAACTATATATTCCCTTTAGCATTCTTGTTCATCATTTTAGAGCATTGGTCTCGTTGTTAATGGTATCAACCCACCCATATATACCTAGGGGCGCGTTCACAAGTTTTGCCCAACCTGTCAAAAAAGCTAAGGCCGGCGCTGTATATATATAAATATATATATATATATATATATATATATATATATATATATATATATATATATATATATATATATATATATATATATATTATATATATATATATATATATATATATATATATATGTAAGATATATATATGTAAGATATATATATATATATATATATATATGTAAGATATATATGTATCGTGCGTATAGGCATAATCAGATATATTAAACAATGTTACTATTCGTTTTAAATATTATAAACCAATGTCAGTTAACTTATCAATTACACATACACAGTTATTACAGTGAACAATACAATAAATAAAATAAGTGTTACCTTCCAAGTTTTAATACTGTTATCTTTATAAACTTTATTGACCAAGGCCATACCATCAATAATAATAGTTGATGCATTTACTGAGATTTCTTGTTCTTGTGTCGAAATTTCTAATCTTTTTGACAAGTCTTTAACTTCATGCAGAACTTTTTCTTTATCCGCGGTGATCAATGGGTGTATCTTGAGTCCATCTTGAGTAAACATCAGTTTTGATACAACTGAAAACTCATAGCTACCAATGCTTTTTTCTAAATCAAGCTCTGGGCGTTTTCTTGCACAAGTAGAAAACAAAATAATAAGGTTTGCTCTTTTTTTAGTTGAATTACTTTTTTATCTATCTTTATTTTTGAAACTTTGGCTTGATTTTGAAATATTTTCAGATTTCTCATCTTCATTGGCAACCATATAGGTATGTCTCTTTTTAACATTATAAACTAATTCATTTGCTACTTCTTTTAGCAAAATGGCTTTGAACACAAGATTAAAAACCACCTGATTTTTGTTGAAGTTGATGCCAAATGTATCAAATGCATCAATGACTTTTTTTACATTAGATGAAATTCTTTCGTTTGTAGATCCCGCCAGTTGGTAGTGTTGTTTGCGAAAATGTGATCCAATATTATTTTTTTTTTGCAAAATATTTTTGATATGGAGTTTAAAGGAGGAGCAATAAGGCAAAAACGGTTTAAGCACGTTGAATTTTGTGCAATATCAATTGCCCCTCCTGCTACCTTCAAAACCTTGTTTATCTGTTCTAAGGCATGATCAGAACCAATATTACAGAAAGGAATGCCTGACCTGTTGACGGTGAAATTTTTTTAAAGATATTTCCAGAAGGTAATGTCTATTTTTTTTAAGTTCAATCATTGTAGCAAGATACAGTGGTGAGAGACGTGCGTAATTATACTGATCTTGAGCGAAAAAATATGGAATCATTGCATCAAGCAACGCAAAATGAAGTTTCCAATGTCCTTGTCGAGATGCTCGAACAAATTGAAGCAATTTTTCATACATTAACATTTAGTTACGCAAATATAAGCCTTGTTGAACTAATTTATTATCAAAATTCTTGCATTTTTCTGCAATAGTATTTGATTGGAAATAAGCTCAAAGCTTCCTTGTGCAGATTCCTTATCAATTATTGCACGGTTAGCACGGATCCTTATAATTCCTTCCTAGCTGTCCAAAGAACGCCACTTATACGGAAAGTTAGCGTACACATCAAGATACCCTGTGATGCAACTTTTGAAATCATTTAATTTTGTCCGCGGAAAATAATTTAATTTGAATGTTCAAATTAAGTCAAATTTTGACTTTATAGTGCGCCAATAAAAACACTTGTAGAATTTGAACCACTCAATATAATTTAATTAAAATTTGTGCAAATGTAGCCAATAGTCACACCAAACTCTGGACAAAATTTCAGTCTAATTGGATGACTGGTGTAGAATTTATTGCAGTTTTAGTTAAAGTTTTGTTAGTTTTTTTGCTACCTATACCTAAAAGCGTTACCGATCATTATTTTTAAAATAACGGTTACCTATATTTCTAAAAAAAAAAGTCCTTGCAAAAAAAAAGTAGAAAAGACATGACCCTCTAGCCTCCCCGGCGTTGACGGCCATGTATGCTTTGCTTGAGTATACCAACATTTCCTAAGGTATAAACTGCTGTCAAAAAATAAAGCTAAAAAAAAAGTGCAAAACCTGGTCAAAAGACTACCAATTAGTAAAACAAACAAAAAAAAGTAGATCTCCTAAAATATTTTGTATTGACCTCCTTAAATACATTTACTTTTAAAATTAAGTGAAAACTATTTAAACCCTATTTTTTACATTGCATTACCATCAAATATCTAATTACATTTTAAGAAATGTTTTTTTGATTTTCTCCACCAAAAGATTATTAATAAATAGCTCAATGTACTCTTTCAATACAAATAATCTATAATACAACTTTTAAAGATGGTGAAAATATTCATTATA